TCGGTTGTAATGAACCAATCATCAATTATGAGATTTTAACCAACACTAGAGTGGACCGACTCATGCTGTTGGTCACACCTTAGATCTGATAATCACTAAGGAAAGATGATCTGATACGTTCAGTGTGGACAGAAGATAACAAGATATCCGATCACCATTCTCTATTTGTTACTTTGAAGTGTGAGAGACCAAACAGTGTCTACGAAGATATTAGATACAGGAAACTAAAACAAGTTGATATTGCCCAGTTTGATGGTGAAGTTGCTGACTCTAATGTCAGTGGAAAAATAGCATGTTGTCAATCTGTAAATGCTATGGTTGATGAGTTTGATTCCATCATTACTTCACTGTTAGACAATCAAGCTCCTCTAATCAAGAAGCGAGTTATTATGAGAACTAACAGTAACACAAAGTAGATGTCTCCAGAAATCCAGGCTGCTAAGCATGAAAAGCGCAAGGCAGAGATGAGATGGAGGAACGAGATGGACACTTGAGATCAGTCGTCAAATCTACAAACAGAAAAGAAATAAACTCACAGATCTTATCAGAGAGGCCAAAAAAAATGATTAAGAAATCTAATCTTGATCGCAACAAACTGCAGAGTTACCGGCCGGTATCAAATCTGACATTTTTATCCAAGATCTTAGAGAAAGCAGTTAAAACAAGACTCCTGGATCACCTTCAGTATCGGGGCCTGCTCGATATGTATCAGTCGGCTTACAGAAGTGGATTCAGTACAGAGACAGCTCTCAATAAAGTATTAAATGGTTTGAGGACCAGTGTGGATGACGGAAAAGTTGCACTTTTGCTCCTGTTAGATTTATCAGCGGCATTTGATACTGTTGACCACACCTTGCTAATAGATCGACTTCATACTGAATATGGTTTAGACGGTGTTGTTTTGGACTGGTTCCGCCTTTACCTGAGAGACAGATTCCAGAGAGTTAGCATTAATGCTACATCATCTGACAACACTCTTTTGACTTGCGATGGACCCCAAGGTTCCGTACTGGGCCCAGTATTATTTACGCTTTACACAAGCCTGTCTCTCAAGTCATTAGTAACTGTGCCATCAATAATCATTTTTATGCTGATGACACGCAACTGTACAATAGTTTTGCTTTTGATGACCAGTCACAGAGGTCAGGACTAAGTGCGATGGAAGACTGTACATCCAAAGTTAGCGCCTGGATAAACGCCAACATGCTGAAGTTAAACAGCGATAAGACAGAGGCTTTGCTCATAGGACCCGACAAAAGGCTGCAAAAGATCAAAGCAACTCATATCACAGTCGACAGTGAAGAAATCAACTTTTCGACAGATGCTAGAAACTTGGGTGTGAAGCTAGACTCATCAGTCAACATGGACAATCACATCAATGACCTCGTCAAAAAATGCTACTTTCACCTCCGAAACATAGGTAACATACGCCACCTTCTCACAGAAGAAACAGCTGCAGCACTTGCACGTTCAATGATCCTGGTCAGGATTGACTATTGTAATAGTCTGCTTGTAGGGGCCCCAGCGCAACAAATCCGAAGGCTGCAAACCATCCAGAACTCAGCGGCTGTCACACTGTCAAAAGTCCTGTCACATCACTCCAGTACTCAGGTATCTCCACTGGCTGCCAGTCAAAGAACGGATACATCATAAATCCTCACCCTCACATATCAGTGTATCAATGATACAGCTCCTGGTTATCTGTGTGATCTAGTAGAAGTCTATGTCCCTACAAGAACTCTCCGTTCCAGTGATCAAATGCTACTAAAGGTCCCCAACATCAGGCTCAAGACATTTGGCGGAAGATCATTCGCATATAATGCTGCTGTTGAATGGAACGCTCTCCCATTTTATCTGAAATCAACTCCAACTCTAGCTTGTTTCAAGAAACATCTTAACACCTACCTGTTCAACAGAAATGGACTGTAAGCACACGTGATATCTACGAACTCTGTTAGCACTTTGAGCACACTTTGATGTGGAGTTTAGCGCAATATAATAATCCATATTATTATTATTATTAGATCAACACTAAAATAACTGACAATAAACACAATCCAAAAGAACTTTTCAAAATTGCAAACAAGTTACTAAAGCCTCGTTGTCACATATCCTTTCCTTCCGCTGCTGAGTGTGAAGTAAGGGCAGGCAACTTCCCTTCCTTTTTTCTGGATAAAGTCCAAACCCTTCGGGAATCTCTCTCTTTATCACCCTCAGATTTCACGGCACTGGTTCATGACCAACAGTTCACTGGCACCGAGCTTTGTCGTTTCCGTCCCATTACAGTGTCTGAGTGTTCAAACATCATCAGGAAATCACCTACAAAGTTCTGTGCTCTTGACACCTTGCCGACATCACTGTTTAAATCCTGCTGTGATTCCCTGGCCCCAGCTGTTACCTATATTCTGAACTCCTGCTTATGCGACGGTGTTGTGCCTGACAAGTTCAAGTTGGTTCTGGTAACTCCGCTTTTAAAGAAGCCTCCTCTAGATAGCACTGTAATGAAGAATTACAGACCTATTTCTAATCTCCCTTTCCTATGTAAAGTCCTCGAAAACATCATTGCATCCAGGCTTCAACAACATCTTAAAGACAATGAACTGCTGGAAGTATTTCAGTCTGCTTACAAACAGAAACACTGCACTCAGACCGCCCTTCTGTGTGTGCAAGACGACATTGCCAAAAGCCTAGACAACCAAGAATTGTTACTGCTGGTGTTATTGGACATGTCCGCTGCTTTTGATACCGTGGACCACAATGTCCTTCTTCGGAGAATGGAGCACACACTAGGCATTACGGGTACCACTCTTGAGTGGTTCCGATCATACCTAGGAAATCGTCATCTGCAGGTGCAAGTCGATGGCCATCGATCACCTGTGTCCAAGATGCAATTCGGTGTCCCGCAAGGCTCAGTTCTGGGACACATGTTGTTTACTGTGTACACACTTCCCCTCGGTAACGTCATCAGAAGCCATTCTATTCCTTTCAAAACTTAAGCAGATGACAGCCAAGTGTACATCAGTGCAAAAGCATCCCAATTAAGTGATCGGAAAATCCAGCTAGAGACCTGTATCGCAGAGGTGCGCTCCTGGGTTAAGTCCAATTTTCTGAAAATGAATAACGGAAAAAACGAATTCATGATTATTGGCTCACAGCAACAACAACTGAAAGTCCCACCCCTCAGCATCACCATTTGCGACAGCTCTGTCAGTCCCAGCTCAGCTATGCGGAATCTCGTGTGATGTGGTGATGTTTGATCCATTCTTATCTCTTCAACCCCACGTGAGATCCCTCTGTCGTTCTATCTCTTTCTGTCTATACAATATCAGCAACATCAAAGAAATATCTGACCGTGGATTGTCTGAAAACTCTTGTTCAAGCTAGTATCACATCCCGCCTTGATTACTGTAACTTGCTGCTTTATGGAACATCAAGCTCAAACAACAACTACAGCATCTACAGAGCAGCCCTGCTCGTCTCATCACGGGTTCCAGGAAGCACTGTGAAATCACACCAATCCTGCGGGAGCTACATTGGCTTCCTGTACAGCAACGAGTCACCTATAAGCTGCTTTCTCTTACATATTCAGTCCTGAATAATCCCACTGCTCATGAGTATCTAAGATGCCTATTTTCGTACAAAACTTCAAACAGAACTCTTCGATCCAGCAGTGCTTTGAATGATCTTGCCATCCCAAGAACCACCACTAAAATGGGGGAAAGGTGTTTTACAGTTGCAGCCCCAGCCTTGTGGAATGAACTTCCAGCTGAACTGAAAAGTGCAAAATCAAGGGATTCATTAAAAAAAAACCTTAAAACACACCTATTCACATGATTCAGAAAATATATTAGCTTTGAATCCTCGACTCCCCCATATTCAGCTTCTTTTACTGTCTTTTTAAGCATCACTGGGTTTTTTTCTAATCATTGTGTAATTTTTCTGTAAAGCGCCACTGAGCAGGAAATAACCTGGATATTAGGCGCTATACAAATAAATTGTCATTCATTCATTCTATTACATGTACATGCTTTCTAATGTTATATGATGTCATCATTTCTTATACATTGTGATATTACCAAAATGTATCCGGTCACATCTTTGGATTGAAATAGATTGGTTCACCATGAACAAAACATCATGAAAATATAGCACCCGTATCCAGTTACAATGACCTAGTGATAAGCATAGCAGAGTTATGCCCCCTTATCTTTATACATGTATGACCCCTCTGTCGTCATTTGACGTCATAGTGAAAAATCCATTTTCGACATTTATTGCAATTTGCAAGTCACTTATTAGATTGAGTGTATGTTGTTATACATAAGCACACATACCTATTTCATAAATGCTCATGCCGTTAAGATATTGAGCATCACTTTTCGTAAAGGTGCCAAATTAAAACAATTTGTTGCACAGTGCTTTTATCGGTGCACGATAAAAAGCAGAGAAATTTACTGTTTTTTAACGCATAACAGAATGATGGACAACATTTAGCAGTGTTTATTTTCAAACTGTCGAAGTATTTGCACATTAGTTTTCACCATCAGATAGAAAATTTCTCTGCATTTCTCTATAATTTTATAGTTGTAGGTTGATCCAGTGCCGCGAGAATGGAATTCTCGCACAACATTCCCTTTTCAGATCTTGAAAATGTGCGTCAGAAAAAAAGCATCAAAGTAAAATTGGCTATTGCCAATGTAAATGTTTAACATTTAAGAGTCCATATATAGTATCAAATCTCAAGGTTGCTCTCTTTTACTTTGAATGCTGTTACAATGACTGGGCTGCTTGTGTGTTTTTGCACCTAAAAGCAAGTAGAAAGTAGAAAAGACCCCTCTTTTATAAATAATAGCAGTCCTCATCTCATTTGCTGTACATGTTGCAGAGCATGATGTATTCATTTTGTATAAACTACAAATATATCTTCATGTTTTTTAGAAAGTTAAATTTCTGTCCCAAGAATAAACATGTCATCTTCAGATTTTGCACTGCTGATATAGGTTATTGTCTCATGTGAATGATGTCACGCTGGACCAGAATATTCCCCGGGAGTATGTCCTCTATCTGTGCCCAGTCGGTCTGCTACAGCATGAGCTCTCCAACTTCTGGGAGAAGTCACTGTCTACAACAGGATGGAATGGAGCACATGCCTACTTCCCCATATAACCCTCACCAACATGTTCAAGGTATGTTATTAGTTCCCCCATATAACCCTCACCAACATGTTCAAGGTATGTGATAACTTCCCCCATATAACCCTCACCAACATGTTCAAGGTATGTGATAACTTCCCGCATATAACCCTCACCAACATGTTCAAGGTATGTGATAATTCCCCATATAACCCTCACCAACATGTTCAAGGTATGTGATAAGTTCCCCAACATATAACCCCCATCACCAACATGTTCAAGGTATGTGATAAGTTCCCCCATATAACCCTCACCAACATGTTCAAGGTATGTGATAAGTTCCCCCATATAACCCTCACCAACATGTTCAAGGTATGTGATAAGTTCCCCCATATAACCCTCACCAACATGTTCAAGGTATGTGATAACTTCCCCCATATAACCCTCACCAACATGTTCAAGGTATGTGATAACTTCCCCATATAACCCTCACCAACATGTTCAAGGTATGTTATTAGTTCCCCATGTTCAAGGTATGTGATAAGTTCCCCATATAACCCTCACAACATGTTCAAGGTATGTTATTAGTTCCCCATATAACCCTCACCAACATGTTCAAGGTATGTGATAAGTTCCCCATATAACCCTCACCAACATGTTCAAGGTATGTGTGATAAGTTCCCCATATAACCCTCACCAACATGTTCAAGGTATGTGATAAGTTCCCCATATAACCCTCACCAACATGTTCAAGGTATGTGATAACTTCCCCATATAACCCTCACCAACATGTTCAAGGTATGTGATAACCCTTCCCCCATATAACCCTCACCAACATGTTCAAGGTATGTGATAACTTCCCCATATAACCCTCACCAACATGTTCAAGGTATGTGATAACTTCCCCATATAACCCTCACCAACATGTTCAAGGTATGTGATAAGTTCCCCCATATAACCCTCACCAACATGTTCAAGGTATGTGATAAGTTCCCCCATATAACCCTCACCAACATGTTCAAGGTATGTGATAAGTTCCCCCATATAACCCTCACCAACATGTTCAAGGTATGTGATAACTTCCCCATATAACCCTCACCAACATGTTCAAGGTATGTGATAAGTTCCCCCATATAACCCTCACCAACATGTTCAAGGTATGTGATAAGTTCCCCCATATAACCCTCACCAACATGTTCAAGGTATGTGATAAGTTCCCCCATATAACCCTCACCAACATGTTCAAGGTCTGTATGTTTAGAAGTCCTAGTGCAGTGTACAGGTGATGGTGACTGGCATGGTAACCTATGTTCGTTAAACAAGGAATTACATAGATCAGGGTCATTGCTCATAATTACAATTATAGTTGTGTCTGGTGGGTTTTCTGCATCTGCCACTTTCATAAAGCTAGATTGCTAAGTGTGGTGTTAAACAACAAGCAAAACAAACCTACAACAAACATGTACAGATGATTTAGTCTCAGAAGAATGAAGAGTACATGCTATTTTGCCTATCACATTTATTGCTTGGCTGTTTCTGTTCATGGTGTTTAATGCTGGTAATTGTTGTGTCAGGCTGAAGACAACCAGGTGTCCTATCTAACCAAATGTCTGTCGAAGCTGGAAGACAGGCTGAACAAAGCTCCAGGAAAACTCACCCTGGATTTCTTTGCCCAGAAGAGTTTTATCGGCCTGTTTGTTAGTGGGCCGTACTTCCAGTATCTACAGGACACTGTCACCCAGTTCTCCGAGGAAGTCAGAAAGGCTGGTAAGTGTTTGTTCTATGATGCATGCTACAGAGGTTCAGGATCAGAGTCTGCCCTCAATCCACACCTGTTATAAGATGGAGTGTGTTGCATGGTTCAGTAGTAGTCATCTCACCCTGGTGGTGTGGTTTGTCTGCTCCGAGGCCTGATACTTCATGGTTTGAAATGAACATACTACTAATATTAGTCAGGTGAGACTGATGCTATTCCTTTCAAATAATTAGATAAATGGCTTTCAATGTGTATTCTGTTCTTGTGGAAAAGTGTGCCATAAAATCTGAAATTTCCTCCCCAATTTCCTCATTTTCCATCTCAGCTGAAGACATTTCTGTTTCCATAGTCTTACAGTTGCTAAACAACACAGAGCATATTTATTTTGTGAATTGTTATGCTGTATAAATGCATTTTTATTATTATGAAACAAAACTACCCTGCTGCAATATCTCCATTATTATATGTCTTGTATTTGGCCAGTGAGATCAAGTTTTATCAAACATTAATTCTTGGGAATGCCAAACTGAACATGATGTAATGATACATAACCTTGTCAACAGCCAGCTTGGGAACTGAGGCATGTACACTGATTTACACACTGACTGAATGTGTAACATATGACATTATAAGCTTTATACATGATATTTCCATGGTGTGTGCAGGCATCATAGTTGGGGAGAACAAGAAGCAGTTGCACCTGTCTCTGTCGTACCAGTACCAGGACGAGAACCATGAAGTCCTGCTGAAGAAGGCCAAGGAGATGAACTTGTCAGCGTCGGTACGCTGGGATGTCCGCTTGTACTCTCGAGACCCTCGAGTTGGACAGAGCGAGGTGAGAAATTGTTTGTTTTACCGCTTGTAAACTGAGTGAGCCACAATCTCATTGGTTGAAATATGGGATTCCAAACCTTGAAATAATACCCTTTACACTAAGGTAATAATTTGAAAAACATATGCTGGTGACATTTCTTATTTAGAATTGTAAGGTTGAGGGAACTTACCCACTTCTATCAATAACAGAAGGATGTAGAAAACTGTGACAAAATTCTCCAAAGGTATTTAGAAGTTGATGTAGTAATACAAGACAAATCTTATTGATAACAACTTCTTGATTTATTTCTCACAACATTTCTGGGCTAGCTCAGAAACAAGAGAAATTAGTAAAGAAGTTGTTATCTATAAAACTGTGACAGTTATATACACGAAGAAACAAACATGTGAGTTTGGTTGGAAATGTAAACACATGGGAAAGGGAACAGCCCGCAAGAGTGAGTGCAGTCGGCTTCTATCCTCTGAAAACACTGAGTGTGTGAGTGCAGTCACTTTCCATACAATCATTAGCTTCTTAGGCTGACTTCAGTTTGTGTGTTGTGCAGGTCCGCAAGGTGTTGAAGGCATACACGACTCAGTTGACTGATGAACTGGAACTCATCGATCAGGACTTTGTGTTCATGGACCCAGAGGAAGTAAGTCGGAGCAAGGATGGATGGTACAAGGGCACTTCCTGGCTGACAGGGAACACAGGGATGTTCCCGGGGGTGTTCACGTCACGCACAGCTGAAACCTGGACATGGACTCTGCATCGGTGAGACATTTACAGCTCTCCTGTAGGCTGGATGAACTTATAGGACAACACATTGAAGCCACAGCTCATGGGTAGCTGGCATGGATGATCCTACCTAGGTAACTGGCATGGAAGATCCTACCTGGGTAGATGGCATTCCTACCTGGGTAGATGGCATGGATGATCCTACCTGGGTAGATGGCATGGATGATCCTACCTGGGTAGATGGCATGGATGAACTATGGGTATGATCCTACCTGAAGCCACATGGGTGATCCTACCTGGGTAGATGGCATGGATGATCCTACCTGGGTATATGGCATGGATGATCCTACCTGGGTAGATGGCATGGATGATCCTACCTGGGTAGCTGGGATGATCATGGATGATCCCTACCTGGGTATGGCATGGATGATCCTATGATCCTACCTGGGTAGCTGGCATGGATGATCCTACCTGGGTAGGATGATCCTACCTGGGTAGATGGCATGGATGGGTCCTACCTGGGTAGATGGCATGGATGATCCTACCTGGGTAGCTGGCATGGGGTAGCTGGATGATCCTACCTGGGTATGATGGATGATCCTACCTGGGTAGATGGCATGGATGATCCTACCTGGGTAGCATGGATGATCCTACCTGGGTAGATGTGATCCTACCTGGGTATGGCATGGATGATCCTACCTGGGTAGCTGGCATGGATGATCCTACCTGGATGATGGCATGGATGATCCTACCTGGGTAGATGGCATGGATGATCCTACCAGGATATGATCCTACCTGGGTATATGGCATGGATGATCCTACCTGGGTAGCTGACATGGATGATCCTACCTGGGTAGATGGCATGGATGATCCTACCTGGGTAGATGGCATGGATGATCCTACCAGGGTAGATGGCATGGATGATCCTACCTGGGTATATGGCATGGATGATCCTACCTGGGTAGCTGGCATGGATGATCCTACCTGGGTAGATGGCATAGATGATCCTACCTGGGTAGCTGGCATGGGTGATCCTACCTGGGTAGATGATCCTACCTGGGTAGCTGGGTGATACCTGGCATGGATGATCCTACCTGGGTAGCTGGCATGGATGATCCTACCTGGGTAGCTGGCATGGGTGATCCTACCTGGGTAGCTGGCATGGGTGATCCTACCTGGGTAGCTGACATGGATGATCCTACCTGGGTATATGGCATGGGTGATCCTACCTGGGTAGCTGGCATGGGTGATCCTACCTGGGTAGATGGCATGGATGATCCTACCTGGGTAGATGGCATGGATGATCCTACCTGGGTAGATGGCATGGGTGATCCTACCTGGGTAGATGGCATGGATGATCCTACCTGGGTAGCTGACATGGATGATCCTACCTGGGTAGATGGCATGGTTGATCCTACCTGGGTATATGACATGGGTGGTCCTACCAGGGTAGATGGCATGGATGATCCTACCTGGGTGGCTGGCATGGGTGATCCTACCTGGGTAGCTGGCATGGGTGATCCTACCTGGTAGCTGACATTGATGATCCTACCTGGGTATATAGCATGGGTGATCCCAGCTGTGATGTCATACTGAAACTGTCAGTTTTGTTTGATACACCTGTGCAGGCACCATCTGATGTGCATTAAGGCGTGTTGAGAAACATTGACATGTTTTATACTTATCAACATTTGATTCGTTTATTTTCATGAGTATTCATGATGCATTTATGCATCACAAATCACGTTTCCAAAGTATGTATGTATTCAAAGTTTGTTATCCTTTGTTTTGTTCACCTGAAGCAGTACAATTTAATTTCTGATAGAAAACAAATCTGTTGAGCTGTTCTGAATAATCAAGTCATTAACAAGTTGTTGGCTTCTAGTTTCATGGATGCGCTCAGAATATAATGTTCTGAGGTGGAGGGTTTCGAGAGAAAGTTGAGGGTATGAGAGCCTGTTTATTGTTTCATTATGGCAATTTCCCAGGGGAATAAAGGTGTGTTACAGAACCTGGGAACTACTTTTGTCTTTTGAAAAGGTCAGTGTGTTCAATGAGGATGAATGCTGTTTTCATGTCTGACCATTGTTTATGAAATACTTCCTGTTCATTGTTTCAAGGTCGTTGCCTTTGCGTGAACATCATCCAAAGAGTGGCCAGACAGCATCGGCAGTGACAGCCAACGGTTCAGCCGAGGAGGACTATGACAATCTCTGGCAGGAAGAAAACAATGATGACATGTATGCAAAGGTGGGTGATGCCTCTTCACATCTTCCATTTGTTAGTTGCTATGTCATTTAGAAATGAGAGATATGAAAAGATCAGTTACTGATATCGGGTTCCATGAATATTTTCACTTGCTTGGTGAAACACTCTAGGCTCCAGTTTCAGTGTCCCACATATTGGAATGCTGACGTTTTACATATCTTTGCCACAATGTGGCTAGTACAGTACTGAGGGTGGCCAGAACCCTTCACACTCACTCACTCACTCCACCAAGGCTCACTGCTCCTCAGTCTAGGGCTGGGAAAGGACACTTACGTACTCAGTAGTGTGGATCATTATTACCCACAGGGATACTTGGACCTGTGGTTAGTCCTGCTATATATTGGTTCATGACAATAACAATAACACTCCATGGTTACCATGGTTACACTAGACGTTGATAACGTCTAGATCTGTTTCTGACTCTGCATGCTTTCCTTCTGACTTGTATATGTCTAAGGCTCCTGTTAACTTCAGTGTAGACATGATCAAATTGGGTTTTTTTCAGGTTTTTAAGTCTGTTGCCATTACTCCAGGACATTTTATGCCTGGACTAAACTTGATCTGTTGCATGAAAGCCTTAATAATATGACATATGAAGACCAGAACTAACCTTGATATGATGACGCAGTGTTTAATGTATGTAGGTGATCAAGAACAAGAAGCAGAAGGATGTTGCAGCCCAGCACAAGAGTCCCCGGAAGCTGTTTATCATGCGCCATGGAAGAGATGTGACTTATCATGCGGCATGGAGAGAGATGTGACTTTGTGTTTGGCAGAGACTGGTGTGACAAGTGCTATGATGAAGTGGGTAAGGATATTGATGTGACTGTGTTTGGCAGAGACTGGTGTGACAAGTGCTGCGATGAAGTGGGTAAGGGTGAGACTGGCGTGACAAGTGCTATGATGATGTGATGTGACTGTGTTTGGCAGAGACTGGTGTGACAAGTGCTATGATGATGAAGTGGGTAAGGGTGTGACAAGTGCTATGATGTGACTGTGTTTGGCAGAGACTGGTGTGACAAGTGCTGCGATGAAGTGGGTAAGGCTGTTGATGTGACTGTGTTTGGCAGAGACTGGTGTGACAAGTGCTGCGATGAAGTGGGTAAGGGTGTTGATGTGACTGTGTTTGGCAGAGACTGGTGTGACAAGTGCTATGATGAAGTGGGTAAGGGTGTTTATGTGACTGTGTTTGGCAGAGACTGGTGTGACAAGTGCTGACGATGAAGTGGGTAAGGGTGTTGATGTGACTGTGTTTGGCAGAGACTGGTGTGACAAGTGCTGCAATGAAGTGGGTAATGGTGTTGATGTGAACTCTTGGCACTATATGATCACAACCAATTACATTCTTGTTCTTTGAAAAAGTGGATATGGTTCATCCGGCAATTGTCCAATATCATACTTGTTGTGTATCCTTCACAACATCTCTAAGACAGTGGTATGCTTCAATGTACAGGTAACTACAAACGAGTTAACCTCAACCTCCCTAGGACAATGATGACCCGAAACACCTACCTGGAGTACATCAAAGACTGCCCACTGACAGAGATTGGAAAGGTGCAAGCACACCTTACAGGTAAGTATTCCATTGTTCATGTAAGATATGTATGTGTAATCCAATTCAGGAATGGTGAATCATTTCACAGGATGTATAAAATGCCCTCTCACTGACCACCACTGGTATGTTGTTGATCCAGGGGATGCACTGAAGACAGCATCTGTACCTATCTCATATGTGTACTCCTCTCCCGCGCTCAGGTGTGTACAGACAGCCTCGGAAGTCGCTAAAGGTAAGTAGAGACCAGCAATATGTAAAATTTAGGTGATAAACATCATGTGCTGGCAATTTCTGGGTGTTATTGAGTATTTGAAGCACAGGAATTCATTTGGAACTGACGGCGTTAGCAACAATACAATTGTGTGCCATATTTTTATGTGTCAATACACAGTGAATAGTCTTGCAATTTCCGGAATCGAATTCCATTCGATCAAGGTTTTCAACCAATCAGATTAAAGAACATGGTGACATTTGGTTTACATTTAGACTCTATAATCTGTGTCAGGTTCTTGAAAAGGTAAAAGGTGGTTGGGTAGCCTAGTGGTTAAGGCATTCGCTCATCACGTCGAAGACCTGGTTTCGATTCCCCACATGGGTACATTGTGTGAAGCACATTTCTGGTGGCCCCCGCCATGATATTGCTGGAATATGGCTTAAAGCGGTGTAAAATTAAACTAACTCACACAAAAAAATAATACTGCTTTTACAAATTTGCACATGACATCCGTATATGTGTGAGTGAGCTTGCAAATACGTTTAAGAAAGAAAGCTGAAAATGAATGCCAATGTCTCCGTGTAACACATGTAAAATTGAAATTTGTGATACCACTTAGTCATGTTGTCACGTTACATATGCTTCCAGCTCTTGGCGTGACTGGTAAGATCTGCATTGAGCCAGTGTTGTTTGAGTGGCTCGGATGGTACAACCCTGTTATACCCAAGTGGATGAGTCCTGCAGACCTGGCCAAGAATGGTTTCAACATCGACACTTCACATGTACCATTCATGGACATTAAGAACTTGAACGTGGAGGAGAGTGTTGATGAGTTCTACACACGGAATGCTAACTTCGTCAAGTATATTCTCCGCAAACATGAACCTGAAGGTAAGGAAAACAAATGTCTTAGACACATGTTTCTGTTGTGGGTTCAAATCCCAGTTTTGAGGGATGCCTCTCTTCTCTTATCTGTTAATTGTTATCAATAACTCTTTGGAGAAAGAAATTTTGATAGAATTTGTGTTGTACCCAGTATTTGTGTAATCTTTTATTGGAGAATCTCACAGCCATGTTGTAAGAAGCCTAAATATTTCTTCTTTAAGTGGCGTTTTGAAGTTGGTTTGAAGAACAAGGGGAAAGTTCTATGGATATTTTCCTCATGTATATAAATGCTTTACCTACAGTTCTGTACATCACTTGTTTGATAATAGTGTTATCATCTACACTGAAACATTGCATATATTGTAATAAAGAAGTTGTACATTCATAGCACTATCCCCCTTGTTCAGCCTAAATATTGTAAATATATATAACTGGTGTGAGCATGTTGTTCTGTACAGGTTGGAATGTGCTGGTGGACGGACATGCAGGATCTATCCTCCTTGTTCAGCCTAAATATTGTAAATATATATAACTGATGTGAGCATGTTGTTCTGTACAGGTGGGAATGTGCTGGTGGTCGGACATGCAGGATCCCTGGACGTGTGTTCCAGACAGCTGTGTGGGAGGCCTGTCCGGAAAGCCTCCGAGTTCCACCAGCTGTTGTCAGGGGTGGCATATTGTGCAGTTGCTATGTGTGAAGAGAATCCAGTCAGCAAAGTGTGGGAGCTGAAAGAACCATCGGTTGTACCACTGTGTCATGGAACAAACAAACTGTACAGCTGGAAACTCATACAGTGATACACAGACATACAGTGATACATAAGTTCAGACATAGTGATACACTGATACATAGGTTCAGACATAGTGATACATTGATACATAGGTTCAGACATACAGTGATACACTGATACATAGGTACAGACATAGTGATACACTGATACATAGGTTCAGACATACAGTGATACGCTGATGCATAGGTTCAGACATAGTGATACATTGATACATAGGTTCAGACATACAGTGATACACTGATACATAGGTACAGACATAGTGATACACTGATACATAGGTTCAGACATACAGATACATACAGACTGATACATAGGTTCAGACATACAGTGATACACTGATACATAGGTTCAGACATACACTGATACATAGGTTCAGACATACAGGATACACTGATACATAGGTTCAGACATACAGAGATACACTGATACATAGGTTCAGACATACAGAGATACACTGATACATAGGTTCAGACATACAGAGATACACTGATACATAGGTTCAGACATACAGCATAGTGATACACTGATACATAGGTTCAGACATACAGAGATACACTGATACATAGGATAGGACATACAGTGATACACTGATACATAGGTTCAGACATACACTGATACATAGGTTCAGACATACATAGTGATACACTGATACATAGGTTCAGACATACAGTGATACACTGATACATAGGTTCAGACATACAGTGATACACTGATACATAGGTTCAGACATACACTGATACATAGGTTCAGACATAGTGATACACTGATACATAGGTTCAGACATACACTGATACATAGGTTCAGACATACAGGATACATAGGTTCAGATACATACACTGATACATAGGTTCAGACATACAGTGATACACACTGATACATAGGTTCAGACATACAGTGATACACTGATACATAGGTTCAGACATACAGTGATACACTGATACATAGGTTCAGACATACACATACACACTGATACATAGGTTCAGACATACAGTGATACACTGATACATAGGTTCAGACATACAGTGATACACTGATACATAGGTTCAGACATAGTGATACACTGATACATAGGTTCAGACATACACTGATACATAGGTTCAGACATACAGTGATACACTGATACATAGGTTCAGACATACAGTGATACACTGATACATAGGTTCAGACATACACTGATACATAGGTTCAGACATACAGTGATACACTGATACATAGGTTCATAGGTTCAGACATACAGTGATACACTGATAGGTTCAGACATACACTGATACATAGGTTCAGACATACAGTGATACACTGATACATAGGTTCAGACATACAGTGATACACTGATACATAGGTTCAGACATACACTGATACATAGGTTCAGACATACAGTGATACACTGAAACATAGATACACACTGATACATAGGTTCAGACATACAGTGATACACTGATTCAGATAGGTACAGACATACACTGATACATAGGTTCAGACATACAGTGATACACTGATACATAGGTTCAGACATACAGGATACACTGATACATAGGTTCAGACTGACATACAGACATGATACACTGATACATAGGTTCAGACATAGTGATACACTGATACATAGGTTCATACAGTGATACATAGGTTCAGACATACAGGTTCACAGTGATACACTGATACATAGGTTCAGACATACAGGATACACTGATACATAGGTTCAGACATACAGTGATACACTGATACATAGGATACACTGATACATAGGTTCAGACATACAGGATACACTGATACATAGGTTCAGACATACAGGATACACTGATACATAGGTTCAGACATACAGTGATACACTGATACATAGGTTCAGACATACACTGTGTTCATACACACTGATACATAGGTTCAGACATACAGTGATACACTGATACATAGGTTCAGACATACAGTGATACACTGATACATAGGTTCAGACATACAGTGATACACTGATACATAGGTTCAGACATACAGGATACACTGATACATAGGGTTCAGACATACATACAGCATGATACACTGATACATAGGGGTTCAGACATACACTGATACATAGGTTCAGATACATACAGTGATACACTGATACATAGGTTCAGACATACAGTGATACACTGATAATAGGTTCATAGGTTCAGACATACAGTGATACACTGATACATAGGTTCAGACATACAGGATACACTGATACATAGGTTCAGACATACAGTGATACATAGGTTCAGACATACAGGATACACTGATACATAGGTTCAGACATACAGTGATACACTGATACATAGGTTCAGACATACAGGATACACTGATACATAGGTTCAGACATACAGTGATACACTGATACATAGGTTCAGACATACAGTGATACATAGGTTCAGACAGTGATACACTGATACATAGGTACAGAGATACACACAAGTACTGACACACAGTGGTGTACAGGACTGCTACAGAAAGGCAGACTTTCTTGTTTGTCAAGCAGATGGGCCCAGAACAGGCAGCGTTGAAACAACCATCTTTTTCAGAATGTTTCTTATGCTTTTTGTCTAACAACAGAACATTGAATATAACAGACATATTTAGTTAGATTTTTAACACAACCTGAAAAAATAGTACAAGATATCTGTGTGATTGCAAACTTGTGTTGTGCTGAGTCAGATAATTAGTGGGATCTTGGCAAAATACTTATGCTTTAAATTTTGATTGTCAACAGTAACACTTACAAGTATGTACAAGGCTACGACTCATTACTTGTTGGATTTATAGCTACCTTTTTACTTACAGAATATTGATATTTTGGGTGGGTTCTTAGAATGAGAATCATATGCCTAAAGGCATGATATTTTCTTTTTTTCTGTCTTTAAGAGGGCAAAAATCTCAAATCAACATAGCGTGTAAGTTTCTTTTTGTACACTTTGCATTATTCTTCATCCATTTCTAAGTCCGAGAAAATCTGTTTCAAAACAAATAGATTGATTTGGACTTATTACAACAAAAGTTATTCTCAGGCATGTATCATTTTGATAGGTCCTAAGGGTGACTTTAAGAAAGTGGGTGTAGCTGAGCATATCTTCCACAGAAGACCAGTATGGGTGTGTTGGGCCAGTGTCGTCCACAGAAGACCGTATGGGTGTGTTGGGCCAGTGTGGTCCACAGAAGACCGTATGGGTGTGTTGGGCCAGTGTCGTCCACAGAAGACTGTATGGGTGTGTTGGGCCAGTGTGGTCCACAGAAGACCCGTGTGGTCCATGGGTGTGTTGGGCCAGTGTGGTCCACAGAAGACCTGCAGTGGCCAGTGTGGTCCACAGAAGACCCAGGGTGTGTTGGGCCAGTGTGGTCCACAGAAGACTGTATGGGTGTGAAGACCACAGTGATGGGTGGGTGTGTTGGGCCAGTGTGGTCCACAGAAGACCACCGTGTGTTGGGCCATGGGTGTGTTGGGCCAGTGTGGTCCACAGAAGACCGTATGGGTGTGTTGGGCCAGTGTGGTCCACAGAAGACCGTATGGGTGTGTTGGGCCAGTGTCGTCCACAGAAGACCGTATGGGTGTGTTGGGCCAGTGTGGTCCACAGAAGACCGTGTGTGATGGGCCAGTGTCGTCCACAGAAGACTGTATGGGTGTGTATGGGCCAGTGTCGTCCACAGAAGACCGTATGGGTGTGATGGGCCAGTGTGGTCCACAGAAGACCGTATGGGTGTGTTGGGCCAGTGTGGTCCACAGAAGACCGTATGGGTGTGTTGGGCCAGTGTCGTCCACAGAAGACCGTATGGGTGTGTTGGGCCAGTGTGGTCCACAGAAGACCGTATGGGTGTGTTGGGCCAGTGTGGTCCACAGAAGACCGTGTATGGGTGTGTTGGGCCAGTGTAGTCCACAGAAGACCGTATGGGTGTGTTGGGCCAGTGTGGTCCACAGAAGACCGTATGGGTGTGTTGGGCCAGTGTGGTCCACAGAAGACCGTATGGGTGTGTTGGGCCAGTGTGGTCCACAGAAGACCGTATGGGTGTGTTGGGCCAGTGTGGTCCACAGAAGACCGTATGGGTGTGTTGGGCCAGTGTGTATGGGTGTGTCCACAGAAGACCGTGATGGGTGTGTTGGGCCAGTGTGGTCCACAGAAGACCCGTATGGGTGTGTTGGGCCAGTGTGTATGGGTGTGTCCACAGAAGACTGTATGGGTGTGTTGGGCCAGTGTAGTCCACAGAAGACCCGTGTATGGGTGTGTTGGGCCAGTGGCCCAGTGTATGGGTGTGTTGGGCCAGTGTGGTCCACAGAAGACCGTATGGGTGTGTTGGGCCAGTGTCGTCCACAGAAGACTGTATGGGTGTGTTGGGCCAGTGTCGTCCACAGAAGACTGTATGGGTGTGTTGGGCCAGTGTCGTCCACTACATAGTGTGTGGAGTGGGATGTAGAATAACAGTAGGTGACACCATGGCTGGAGTATTGATGATATACACCTTTCAACATTACTTTCAAAATCAAATAGAACATATGCTATGAATGAGAAAAAGAATTTAATTGTTAAATGAGTTATTTCATCATCTCTTATGCAGCGCCCCATGCATGAAATCACTGTTACGTGAGTATTTTTGTTGTTTGTTTAGTAAAACACTGAGGCTTTAAACATGTTGATCCTACTGGTACAGTATTCTTAAGACTTTAGCTTTACGTGCAAGATAAAACATGGTCTCACCGTCACAAACTATGTTGGACATTAGTTACCCGTTTAGTTTTTCATTTTGTCACATCCATGTGTGTTTGTAGCATGTCCAACCCACACACACTGTATTAGCCGGAGCAGATGAAGCTATTGTGAAAGAATCCCACAGCCATATCAGCAGTGTTCAGTGTACCTTGTCTTGTGGTAGTGTATTTATCTCTGGGAGTTTTTTTTGGTCAAATATCTTACATTTGGAATTCCAGTTTAGTAGGTAACTAAGATACACAAATATCAAATAACCTGACTGTCTCCTTAAATGGGTATGCTTTGAGTTACATGTAGTTTAATGTTAGGAGTTGATGTTTTCATGAATTTTTTGGCTTTACTTCAGTCTAACAAATTTATAACCTGTGGGTTAATGTAAAGACCTCTAGACTTTGGTACATGTTCTTTTAACACTGAAACAACATGTTTGCAGACACATTTTATAGGTTAGTTTGGAAAACATTTCACTTCAGTGCTTAGTCAGACGTTGGATACATCAACCCCCCAGATAGCGTTGATATGTTGGCCCATAGTTGGCCCATAATCACCGGTTTGGTTGGTCCTTGATTGTCAAACTGATGATGGGCCCACTTGGATA